TGTGTGTGTGTGTGTGTGTGTGTGTGTGTGTGTGTGTGTGTGTGTGTGCATGGTGGGATCGTGGGTACCTCTGAGTTGGAGCACCACCCTCAGAAGGATTGGCACATGCTCTGCTATGTAAGAATGTACCCAGCAGGGGAAGGGGAAGCCACAGTGCAGACGTGGGTAAGAAACCTAGAGTCCACACTGCAGAGTGACTTGGGACTACAATCTGTGTGGATGGGGGTGAGCTTGGGGCAGTCAGAACAGGCTGGCTCAACAACCTGGCAAGTTCTTACAGTGAGGCCTCTTGTCCCTTCTCAATCCGGCACGCCAAAGTTCTTCCAGACCTGCCTGAGCCTGGGTTCCCTTTTAGTATGAGAGACTGGCTGATGCTTCCCATTCATTCCACTGTACAGACTGGGGCCTGTCAACATCTGCAGTCTTGACTCCGACAGCCTGAGATCTGTCTCCTCACCTCCATGTGTATTCCCACGGCTGTCACCCGGCAGCACACAGCAATGCCTCACATCCGTCGGGACATGGTCCTCTCCTCACTCTGTCTCCCTCCACCTTCCACTCGGTCTTATCCACCGTCAGTCCCTTGACCCTTCCCTGTCCCCTGTCCCCTGTCCCCTGTCTGGGGAGGGCCCCTCTCTCCTCTCTGTGTCCCCAAACCTAACCTCGTACAATAGATCTGTTTGAATGTTTGGTCTTCTTAATGTCTTTCCTGACCTCACCCTCACTTCCAGGTGGAACTGATCCTGCTAGCCTTCTGCCTTCACCATAGAAACTTCTAGCCCCAACTCTGAGGCCATCACACATGTCTCTTCGAGTATATCATCTCCCCACTCTGCACAGGAAGAGGGTGAGGCTGTGCTGATTATGGGCCCAGCTCCTGGAAGGCACCCGAAGAGCGTCTATGGACCCACAGATGGCAGACTGCATGAGTGTGCAGGTGAATGTGGTAACTGAATGCGCCAAACACTGTTGCCCTGTTCACCTCATCCCCCATCATGTTCAGCCCAGTGCAAGTCTTCCAAGTCAAGATGGATCCACACATGCAAACACACCCCACCAAGTGTTACCCTTTGTCCTCTGGTTCCTTCTCCTGCTCCCTCCCTCCCTCTTTCCTTCCCTCCCTCCCTCCCTCCCTCCCTCCCTCTTTCCTTCTCTTCTTCCCTCCCTCCTTCCCTCTTTCCTTCTCTTCTTCCCTCCCTCC